GCGAGATATAAGCTTTCAAAGTCTGGTCAGTGCAGGAGAATTTTGTTCTACGCGATCGCGAAATAGCTTCCCCGATCGCGATTCACAAGGCCCCAAACTGTTGTTTAACCTTCGCTAACGCGACTTAATGTTCGTGATCGTGATTCACACCTCCGTGGACAAAAAACCTGCAATTTAAAATGGCCTAGAAATGGTCCGAAACCACCCCAAAACTCACCCGAGCCACTCGGGACCCCGTCCGAACATAATAACAAGTCTCAAAGCATCATACGAACTTAGTCGAAGCCTCAAATCACATCAAACAACGCTAAAACCACGAATCATGCCCCAATTCAAGCTTAATGAAAATAAGAAATTCCAACTTCTACATCTGATGCTGAAACCTATCGAATCAAGTTCGATTGACCTAAAATTTTGCACACAAGTCATAAATGAAATAACAGAGTTGTTCCAAATTCTGGAATCGAAATCCGACCTCGTTATCAAAAATTCAACCTTCGGTCGAACCCTCTAAAAATCTTCTATTTTTCAACTTTCGCCAAAATGCGTCGAATTGTTCTACGGACTTCCAAATCCAAATCTAGACACACGCATAGGTCCAAAATCACCATACAAAGCTATTGACATAATCAAAATTTCATTTCGGAGTCATTTCCACAAAAGTCAAACTCTGATCAACTCTTTTTATTTTAAGCTTCAAAATGAGAATTGTTCTTTTAATTAAATTCTGAATCTTCCGAAAACCAAACTCGACCGCACACGCGAGTCATAATACATATTAAGAAGTTTCTCGGGACCTTAAGTCGCAGAACATGGCGTTAATTCTTAAAACGACAAGTCGGGTCGTTACATTCTCCGCCTCTTAAACATACGTTCGTCTTCAAACGTTCCATCCAGACAGCTCAAATCTATCCAAATTAATTGTACAACCTCATTAAAATTCATCGGAAACAATTCTGGATAATAATACGTCGACTTAAAAAAAATTAAAAATGTCAACAAAAGTCAATGCGGGACTTGCCTCTCAGAACCTAACATAATTTGCATGCAATCCGAACACCCATTCCGATACGATTTCAACCATACCAATTTTATCAAATACCGATAACAACTCGACCTCCAAATCTTAAATTTTTGTTCTTGAAAGGTTTTGCAAAAATCTTGATTTCTTCCATTTAAATTCGAAATAAATGATGAATATAACCATAGATTCATGAAATATAATCACTTTAGGATATAAAATACTTACCCCAATCCATATGGTGACAATCGCCTTAAAGATCGCTTCAATCCGAGCTCCTTAGCTCCAAATATGTTAAAAATGGCCAACACCTCGAAATATAGCTACTGCCCAGGTATTTACTCTTCGAGGTCGCGGAAAATGCTTCGCGATCGTGAAGCACAACTTTTCTCAGCCCAAAATTTGCCTTTTGCGATTGCGGAAAATGCTTCGCGATCGTGAAGCACAACTTTTCTCAGCCCAAAATTTGCCTTTTGCGATTGCGGAAAATGCTTCGCTATCACGAAGAACAAGTGCCCAGCTCTTCCAGATAGCCTTTAGTATAATGGTCATAACATTTTGTACGAAACACAAAATTATAAATAGTTTAACTTTATGAACTCTAGACACCAAGAGCTATAACTTTTATTTGTTGCTCATCTCCCAATTCCTTATAGATTGCGAGATATAAGCTTCCAAAGCCAGCCTTGTGCAACAGAGATTTCCAAACTCTTCCTAGATTGCCTATAGTTTATCCACTATAACCTTTTGTACATAACTCCAAATTACAAATGGTTTACCCTTCAACAAACTAGACACAGAGGGATACAACTTTCATTTTTGGATTATCTCCAAATTCCTTATAGATTGCGAGATATAAGCTTTCAAAGTCGGGTCGGTGCAAGAGAGTTTTGTTCTACGCGATCGCGAAATAGCTTCCGCGATCGCGATTCACAAGGCCCCAAACTATTGTTTAACCTTCGCTAACGTGACCTAATGTTCGTGATCGTGATTCACACCTCCGTGGACAAAAAACCAGTAATTTAAAATGGCCTAGAAATGGTCTGAAACCACCCCGAAACTCACTCGAGCCACTCGGGACCCCGTCCGAATATAATAACAAGTCTCAAAACATCATACGAACTTAGTCGAAGCCTCAAATCACATCAAACAATGCTAAAACCAGGAATCATGCCCCAATTTAAGCTTAATGAAAATAAGAAATTCCAACTTCTACATCTGATGCTGAAACCTATCGAATCAAGTTCGATTGACCTCAAATTTTGCACACAAGTCATAAATAACATAACAGAGTTGTTCCAAATTCTGGAATCGAAATCCGACCTCGTTATCAAAAATTCAACCTTCGGTCGAACCCTCTAAAAATCTTCTATTTTTCAACTTTTGCCAAAATGCATCGAATTGTTCTACGGACTTCCAAATCCAAATCCGGACATACGCCTAAGTCCAAAATCTCCATACAAAGCTATTGACATCATCAAAATTCCATTTCGGAGTCGTTTTCTCAAAAGTCAAACTCCGGTCAACTTTTTTCAATAATGTTATTTCGAGTGTACTTCCTTCAAATAAATATCTTTCAAATAGAATTTTGGAATATAATTCCTTCAAATAAAAGTCACCTTGTGACACCTCATTACATATTCATAAAAATAAGGGTCTCAATCCACTTTCATATTTTCACGGCACCTCGTGCCCATGTTTCTATCACAACTGTACGGACAACTCACGTGTCAAAAATATCAATATATAAAAGAATCGGCACGATCAAATTACTTTAGAAATAGTTTGAGTGAAGAAAATGACATTTGCACTTAAACTAAAGCATCAGATAAACTACTGATTTGGATGTAATACTTATTAATTTAAAACATAATAGAAATTTTCTTTTATTTCAAACAATCCAGTCATAAAAATTCAGTAAAAACCAGAAATATAAATCTTCAGAGTCTCGTACTAAAAAGCCAAAGAAAACACAATACAACAAGGAGCACAAAACACTTAATAATAAAGTCAACTAGTACATCACCGAAGAAGACAAGAATTTACATATCACGGAATAACAAAATAACCAAAGGCAAGTGCATCCATAGAAAAATATCAACAAAAAGGCACTCCCGAGGTACCGCCTCGTAGTCCCAAAAGTAAATATGCAAGATAGGGGGATCTCTCGAAATACCGTTCCGTAGTCCCAAAGTAAATATGCAGGGAAGGGTAATCTCCCGGATTACCGTTCCGTAGTCCCAACGTAAATATGCAGGACATGGGGATCTCCCGAAATACCGTTCTGTAGTCCCAAAGTAAATATGCAGGGCAGGGGGATTTCCCGAAATACCGCTCCGTAGTACGAAAGAAAATATGCAGGGGGTCTCCCGCAATTCCAATCCGTAGTCCCAAAGTAAATATGATTTCAACAACCGCACATCAAGTGCTCACATATCACAAATGGCTCATCAAGTGCTCAAATATTATAACATATCACAAATTTCAACAATATACATTATTTTTCCACAATAAGAAGCTCACGGCTCGGCCATAATGAGCACAACATCTTTAACAAAATGTTCGGGAGTGAACAACTCAATCGAATAATATTTCACAATTTGGCATTTTGCCTCAATATGATTCACAACATTTATAATTCAAATTCTTGATGATGATATAACGCATCGGTTTAAACTTATTTCATTAACTATTTGCGGATGAAAAATTCATAATAAAATTAAATTCCAAGAAATATCAAATCATCAAACTCACGGAATTCACATAAATATACAAGTAATAATCATATCAAATTGTTATATAAAAATAAATTCAACAAACGTGAATTGAGGCATGGCAAATAGATGATTTACTAAATGCCAACGGTTATCCGATTTACTACACAATATGCCTAAGACTTTAACCCAATATATTTTACACATATAAGCCCGAGTACGTACTCGTCACCTCGCGTACACGGCTTTTTCATATTTCACAAATAGCACGTAAAACTCGCTGCCTAAGGGGTAATTCTCCCACTCAAGGTTAGGCAAGATACTTACCTTTTTGAAGTTAAGCCGATATTCATAAATAACCTTCTTGCTTGAATTGGTCTCTGGACAGCTCAAATCTATCCAAATTAATTGTACAACCTCATTAAAATTCATCGGAAACAATTCTGGATAATAATAGGTCGACTTAAAAATTTATTCCAAAAAAGTCAACACGGAACCCGCCTCTCGGAACCCAACATAATTTTCATGAAATCCGAACACCCATTCTGATACGAGTTCAACCATTCTTTGATGGAATTACTGAAAATGAACTATAACTATGTAGCTCATCATTATCTTCAGTTCCTTAGTTATTATTGTTACTTGGTGAGTTGGTTGTCTTCATACTACACCATGCACTTCGTGTGTAGATCCAGGTGTTTCAGGATATAGCGGGTGTTGATTCTCTCACACAGAGATTCAGAGGTAGTTGTCGTGTTTCGCAAACCTTGTCTCTCTTTCCCTATCTCCGACTATTATCGACCGTATTTTTTTCAGACTTGTATTCATATTAGATGTTCATGTACTCAATGACACCAGATTTTGGGAGCGTTTGTATCGGAATTTACGAGATGTGTGGATTGTATTATATTTTCAAATTTAAAAGAAATTGTGATTTATTGAGAATGTCGGCTTGCCTAGTATCGAGATAGGCGCCATCACGACAAGTTAAGATTTTGGGTCGTGATAATAAAATTGCTCGGGACCTTAAGTTATTGAGCGGGACGTTAATTCTTAAAACGACAAGTTCGATCGTTTTACATAAAGATGAGACGGCTATGCATGCATTAAGCATTGCAAGTTTAGAAAGTAAAACGCGTCGTTTTCTTTATTTCTTATCCGCGTTTAGTTTCTTACATTCCGTAATTTGGCTATATATATAAAGCTCAGATTGAAAAATTATATATACAGAGCAACATACAACAAGAGGAGAGACTAGAAAATTAATGGCGTACTTTATTGAAGAAGAAGTATGGAAATGTCCAAAACACCCTTCGAAGAAATGCAGACCTGGAGTATGTTCAATTTGCCTCCGCAATCGACTTTCCGCTCTTTGCCCTCACTGCGTTAACGTGCGCCCTTGTTCTTGTATAATCGGCGCCGGCGGAGGATGCGACAGCGAGCCGGCGTTCTGTAGATCAAAATCCGTCGGAATTCCATTCATTAAATCGCGAAACAGTAATTCCAGTGACCCGAATAACCCGCCGGCGAGTGAGAAGAGTACTAAAATAGCGTCGTTTTGGTGGATTTTTAAGTCTAGCAAGAGAATTATTGGATAATCGGATAGGAAAGAGAACGAATTAGATTTGAAAGCAAAAACTGCTCAAAATAATTACTAAAATACTACGCGGATTAAGGAATTATCGAGGATGATGATGGTGAGATCGAGATCGGCGAATGTATATATAATGTCAGTCTCCGGTAGAAATGATTATGTCATGTCGCCGGTGAAGTTGAAAGGAAGGTATATGCTAAGTCCGATGAAGGTTTTCCGGCAATCCAGAGCTTTAAAATTGGTTTAGGAGCAAGGGCATTATCACCGGACGCCGAGTTGGAGGCAAAATTTTCATTAAAAGTATCTCGGGAGAATCTATGGTATATATACAAAAAATTTATTTTATTTATTTTCGATTCTATATATTATAATTTTTCAGCAAAGGACATATGAACTATTTAGTGAAATTCTTTAATAGTGTTTGTTGCTAAATTTTGTTGAGTTCGAATAAACCTATTTATACATATTGGGTTGAGGTGTTTACCATTTTGAAATTATAATGTGCACACTTTTCAATAGGATAATTGATGCAGATAGTTGCATACATATCATAGTACAGTAAATGCTTATTATCTGATTTTGATGATTTTATTTAAGCAAAAAATCGAATTTATGAAAATGGGGTTCATAATTTTCTTAAATGAAAACAGTGGGAGAAAGTGAATAGAGCTAAGCAATTTATAAATAGTACTCCAAAAACTTTATAGCTAAATAATAATATAGATGGGTTTTTATGTCTAAACTAAGATGGATTTTCTCTTCTTCTATTTTTTTCTTTTTTGGTTATTCATCCGATGTTCTTTATGTAAAGGAGTTCTGATTAATCTGAATTTGTACCACATAAGACTTATTAAAGAAAAAATATTCCGTACCAAGGTTTTTGATGTTCTGATCTTGCGTTGAAGATGATACTGAATCTAGAGAACTAAATAATGATCAAATTGTTCATGTACAAATAATTGGTACTCTCACGTTCACTTTTAGTTGTCCACTTTTGACTTTGTAATTTCTTAAAAAAATGAAGTATATATTTTATAATTTTACCCATAATAATGATAGCATTTCCAAAAGTCTTGAAAATGATTTGAAGAATTAGTAGTTAATGATAAGAGTAAAACAGGAAGAAAAGATTGTCTTTCTCTTAATTTAGTATAGTGAACAAGTAAAAGTAAAAATATATTATTAGTATAGTGGACAAGTAAAAATGACCGAATACGTATTTAGGTGATATAGACTTGTGATTTAGACCACCATTTGGAGGTGTACTAACATTAATTACGAGATAGATAAAGATGAAAATATGGTCAATTATAGATTGATAGTAACTTGAGAGAGAAAGCAAATTAAATCCAGCCATAGCACATGCAAGGTGTTGTCTCTTTTTAATGCAGAAATCTGCACATATCACTTCATATATTAGGCATTACATCGTGTTCAATATCGCCGTCCTAATAAAGTGTATGGTCTGATAGATGAGTTACCTACAATCGTAATCACAGTTTTTAGGTTCTAGCTCTAAAATAGAGAACCCCTTATGAGAAAGACTTTAAGGGTCTTGAATCTAGAAGTGCTAATAGTTGGGTTCGAAATATAATATTTTATTTATATTTTGTGGACTTTTTAAAGATATACACAATACTTAAGTCAAAGCTATCGGATTCCTCGAACCCACATATTGCACTCTACATTTGCCCATTGTAGAGAGAACTTTCTCTTTTAATAGGCCCTACATTCGATTAGTTGGACAATAAATTTTGAATATGGAATGATTAAAAGAATTTGCGGTCCTCTCCTAGCTTTGGTTTAAGCCTAAGATTATTTCATGTTGAGAAATTGAAGCCCCGATAACATAATGACATAGTAGGTAATGTGATTTAAAAGTTTAAGGAAAAAGATAAAAGTAATATATATCTTCTTTTCTTTTTAATTAAAGTGCTGGCTCATTCCTTGCAGAAATTGGTAATTTCGAAGAAAAACTACAAACACTCTTCTTGTTTTTTATATTTATAGAGTATCCTATAAGATATATAACGCATGCAAAAAAAATTAATATCTCTCTTTCATTTTAAGTGATACCCTTTTCTTTTTAGTTAGTTCAGAGAAAATTATATATTTTTATATTGTGAAGCTCTTTAATTTAATACTTTTTATTATAGGTACTCTTTATAATATGCTCAAATATTATATAAATGTTATAACATGTTTAAAATTACAGTTCTAAAAATAATTTTAATATGTGACAAAAACATTTGTTTGTTGCTTAAAGTTTATGCGAGATCATACACTGTCATATAAAATGAGATGAAGAGATTATTATTTTCTCAACGTCCCAAAGGTTGATCTCGCTTGTGTCAAGAGATATATTTAGAAAGGATTATCATGATATTTCTAAAAGCTTTATCTTGTCTTTAGATCAAAAGAAACTATTTAAAAAGGCTTTTTTTCATCTTCTTCTTTTTCTGTATTTCTATTCTCATAATTATTTATAATTCTAAGAAAACGACTGAAGAGATGGTAGGGATGAAATATGAGCCATAACTCTTGAAGAACCATTGGAACAAAGTTGTGGCCAGGGAACTTAGAGAAAGCCAATTATTGTATGAAAAAAATCTATAATTGACTTATTATCAAGAACATAATCTTATTTTAAAAATACCCCAAAGGAGTCACGACTGCTGACTAGCAAGAACATAAAAAGATATTGTAATTAAATTGTTTAATTCCACTCTCCTATTTTCTTTCTAACTGCCCTATATTTTTTGTAGATGTTGAATTCATGTTAAGTCTTCATTTAGCTTTTTCAGAATAAAAAAATTATGCACAAATGTAAGTGTATGCCTCGATATAAAAATTGGCTTATAGGACGGAAATATTACAACTAATAACTTTAGGATGCATTATGTTTTTTCTATTGACAGTACAAAAATTATGTACACAATTAAATCACTTATAAGATATGTGAGCTCGTAATTTTTGCCCTGTGAAAAATACTCCTATAAAATTCACGAAAAATAGAGTTTTTCTAATTGTTTTAATTTTTCATAGAATTTCTAGGAATTTCTTGTTAATTGTTGTTTGCATTTAGTAGCACATTTAATATCTTAAAATTATAAGAAAACACAAAAATGTCAAATCTTCATTACATAGAATTTTAGGTTTTGTTTATATTTTAGGATTTAATTACGTTTATTAGTTGCATTATTAAATAAAAATCACAAAAAAATACTATGATCTTTTTATATTTTTAGCTTTTAGTTTTAAATCATTAATTTCCTTTGATTAGTTTTAAATTAATTAACTATTCAAATGTTAGAAATATATATTATGCTTAATTCCACAAATTAGATTTGATGTAGGACTTAATTTAGGTTTTAATTAATTTTGTAGAACTAAAATCAAAGAAAACAAAGAAAAGAAATAAGGAGTCTATTTGGTCTTGGTCAAATTGGGCCCAAAGCCATTTCAGTGCCCCAAATTCGCCCACAAATTTGCCCAGCCCAATCCCCATAAGTCCTCACCCGGTCCAGCACTCCCATAACCATACGACACCGTTTTAGTAAGTTCCATCCCAACCGTTGATCATTACCTGATCTAACGGACCCAAACTAATTACCCCTCAGTCCAAATCCCTCACCCATTTCCCCAGAAACCTCCCCAAAATCCTTTAGTTTCAAATCCAAAAATAACCAGAAACCCTAAATCAGTCCTTTCTCGTTTCTTCTTTCAAATTTTGGTCCGTGTGTGTGAAATCAACATCAATCGATTGCTTTGGTTAAGAGCGATCGATTGATGATAATTTAACTCATTGCATGGCCATCGGAGTTTGGACAAGAGCTTGACCGTCGATGTCCGTCTACTAATGTTCTCTCCGGTCGAATAAAGCTATGATTTGACAATTCTCCTTCCCTTTTCATTTTCCTTTTTCTGTTTTGTCTCGGTTCTGTGCATCAAAGTTGGTTTAAGTGGCATATCTAGGGAATAGTTCTTTCCTTTTCTTCACTGTTTCCATTTCCAAATTGGTGATTCATTGTAGTGCCCGTTCTTCTTGTTTGAGTGAGTCTTAGGATCGTAGGTTTAGGTTATATCATAATTGTTGTTTTGGCTGTGCATTTATCTTGATTAGCATGTTTAGTTAATTGTTGATTCATGATAGTTTTTGTTTGTTATTTATTATTAGTTAAACTTAGTTAATTCTGTTAAAAGGGTGGCAGTGATTTAATTTTTGGGGTTTGGGATTAGTTTAAGAAAAGGTTAAAAGAAAGAGTAAAAATAGGTTTCCAACATTATTTTAAAAGGGGTGGGCGGAAAGCGAGGCGTTTTACATATGCTTCAGTGGTGCGTAAGTCCCGAGGCGTGGGGCGTAAGCCCCATAGGTATTTAGTTTTTAATATTTTATAAAATAATATAATGACAGTAAATATTTATAAATAGGTAAAATTGTATAAATATTGAAGAAAACTATATATATGTGTGCTCCATCCCCACAAAAAACTAATCAAAACAATCTATTATACGTTACTTACAAGCACAAGTAATTTGAGTCAAAGAATAAAGTTTTCTATATGGAGGAACAAAAAGGATGATTAACCTGCAATTTGAACTTTGAATTTTCTGTTATGAAAAAGAATGTAGTTCTCTTTGTATTTGTAAAAAAAAATTAAATATTCGTTGCTTTTGGGAGATATTAGCAGGCTACCGAACAAGATAAAAAATTAGAAAAACCATGAATTAGGGCTTAAATCAATAAAAAAGGTCTTTACTTTTAAATTTAATACGTTTGAGTTCTTTTTTAAACCTTTTGAGTAATTACCAAACTGACTTTTGAGAATTTGGCCATTATATGAAGGACTAATTCAACAAATTTTGTTTTAATTTGAAAAAGTCTATGGGGCTTACTTCTTACTAAAAAAACGCGTCCCGAATGCACGGGCGTACGTCTCTTGAGACTTTCGCCCCACACCATCGCCCCAGGGCTCGTCCCAGAAACGCCTTTTAAAACAGAGG